CAGCGTCAGCATGAATCTTCCAGTAAAGCCAATCGACAGCTGGTCAAAAGGAATCCGCCGTCGTCTTCTGCTGGAACCGAACTTCGAATCTCTTCACACCCAACACTTTCACTCGAAATGTAAGTAAGCTCAACAATTATGCCTACTTATTTTATTAGTGCTAGTCCTATTAAAGTGCATATTTACAATCTGCCGATAAATAAAAAATAAATTTGATCATTTACTTTATTAAACTGTTTTTATTATCCAACCTACTGCGGGGTGGTCTTTGCAATAATTGGCCCGAAGAAGCAGGTCTTGCTTTGCGCCGACTACTTTGAGATTCGAGTTAAAGGATGCATACGGACTATAAAAAGTGTAGCAACTTGGTAAATGTGATGGAACTCACTTTACAGCTGTTCGGATAATCATCATTTGCATGATCAAGTGGAGTATGCAGAAGAAAATGAAGTGACCTCAGACTGTTCTCGTAAGAGGAGAGCACCTAATCTAGTCTTCTACATTCCGGTACTTCTTACTCCGGATCATATCTGATTGTCATGCTTTGAACACGGTACCTTCGTGGGTACTGGCAAGCATACCCTAAGCGATGTTAAAATGGACCAAAAGTCAGGTTGTCATAACTTCGTGATCCACCGAGGCTGGTTTAGCGCATGCTGTCGTGCAATGATAATCTCTTTTATAGATCAGATTTTCCTATTTACAACCCAATCCTTGCAGAATTTGTGATTGGATTTGAATCACATCACCCTCCCCAATCGAGTAACCTCACTACGAGACGCTAATGTGGTTACAGATCTTGTCACCAGGTGTCCATATGGTACACTTACTTGCATGGTGTGTGTGAGGAGAGTGTGTGCTAATTCCATGGAGTCTGTCTGTGTGCCACATTCCCAGCGCTCCAATACAAAGGCGGTCTTGGATTGTTCTTCTCTCCTTTCGGCCCGATCTGATGTCTCCACGGCGATCACACAATCGACCATAGTCACATGAGGCGAGTACGGACGTCTTTGACGCCGCTTGGAGCAGAAATCTTCCGGATCCTGGTCGCCAGGCGTCACAGACGTGGAGACTGAAAGGCCGTGGCCTGGAGCGGCCTGAGTGTCTAGGAGAGGTCGGGTTGCCTGGTCGGCCAACTGGACGACAAGATGCACGTCCATGAGGACTGGAGGCGGAGGAGTCGTTTGAACAAGTGAGGTGGTTACCTGATGTTGTTGAGGACAGGAGGAGCCGGATGCCTGAACACCGACAGTTGCATGTTTTGCCGGTGGCACCGATCGCGAATCAGAAGCGGCAGTTGTCAGGGTCTGTAGACTGCGGTCACAGCTGGCCGGTCTTGTTGCCGGGAGGGAGGTGGATTCTGCCGGCATGAAGAGGGAGGGTGAGACCTCGAATCGCGTGACCAGTGGCCGTGAGCCGACGCCTCCTGCGGGTACCTGAACGGGCAAATGGGAGAGAAGGTGTCTTGTTTTTCGGTACTTTTAAACCAGATTTACATGACATTTTCCATCCACCAGCTCCGACTGGTCCCTCTAACTGCTACCTTAAAGGACTCCAACAGTACGTTACTCGAAGGTACGGGATGAACAGAGTTAGCTTTAGCATTAGTAAGCACCAAATAATGGGAAAATTCAATCTGACTATGAAAATGGTTGTGACAATTCAGATAATTGTGTGTTGTCTCGATGACCGTCACAAGACATGCTCCTTCGTCTCTGGTGAACGCGAGCTGAACTTTCGTCTGTCGTGCCGTCTGGCAGACATCATCAAAGCAATACTCCAATTCACCACTAACCGAACTTAACTGAACCGTTACTTCTATACAAAAAAGGCCAAAGTTTATATCAAATAAATTAGTTATTCTAAGTCGTTTAAGAAAATTTCAATTTCACTTGGTCCTCGCAATTTGGGTCGACAGCACTCCCGGCAGCATTTCATACCGAGTCGTGTGTTTTATGGCCATTAAGACCAGCGGTTCACAGGGCCGATGTGAAATTGAAGCCAATCAAGACTTTTACGAAAGATGTAGTGACATAATTATGATAGTCTCAAGTCGCATGTACGTCAGAAATAGGCAACTTCGTCGGTTGAAATGGCAAATACATGTTTGCCTAATCAAAAATCCCAGTAGAAGTGTGATTTTAGAAAGGCCCAGCTTGACTTCCCATTCACTTTTGATCTGGCACCTCTATGTGTTTAGTAGCGTCAATGTATCCACAATGCTCGAGACTGGATATCGAATCTCGTTGAGGCTGTGGTCGACTGATGATGATGCTTAATGACATCATACAGTCGCCTCAACTAATTGTATGAGATGTATCCAAACTATTCTGCTTATAGTGATGAAGTAATTATAGTTTAATATTTTCCCAGCTCTTATATAGACTCAATTAAGCCAAAAGAAAATTAATAACCTAGATAGATAGAAAATACTTACATAGAGGAATAGATAGATAGACAAACATAAGATAGATAGATATATGGATAAGTAGATAGTTAGATAGATAGCTAGATAAATAGATAGAAAGATAAAGAGATAGATAGGAAGGTAGCTAGGTAGAGAGCTAGGTTGTTAGATAGATAGACAGATATATAGTTGGATGG